ATCTATTTGGGTTCTTTTTTTATTCCAGATGAAGTTTTGGGGAGTTTGTTCTAAATCTGTGAAATATTCCATTGGTATTTTAATGGGGAGTACATTGAATTTATGGATTGCTTTGGGTAGTACGGACATTTTAATGATGTTAGATTCTACCAATCCATGAACATGGTATGTTCTTTCATCTGTTTATGTCTTCCTCTATCTCTTTTTTCAACGTCCTGTAGTTTTCAGCTTATAGGTCTTTTACCTCCTTAGTTAAGTTTATTCCTAGGTATCTTAATTTTTTTGTGCAATGGTAAATGGGGTTGTTTCAATGGCTTTTTTATACACCAACAACGAACTTACACAAAGAGAGATTTAAAAAAAAGGCTTTTGTTTGTTTAGGAAAACTTTATGTCTCCTTCATTTTCTGGTCATAGAACTTTTGGTTGACAGATTATTGTCTTTCAATATTTTGAATGTAATACCCCCATTCTCTCTGTGCCTGAAAAGCTGTTGAGAAATCTAGGAGGTTCCCTTGTATGTAACTTCTCTCTTTTCCCTTGCTGCTTTAAAAATTTTCTTTGTCTTTGACTTTTAGCAATTTCATTATAATGCATCTCAATGTAGCCCTATTGGAATTCAACCTATTTTGGAACTTTGGTGCCTCATAGATTTAATGTTCATTTCTTTCCCCAGGTTTGGGAATTTTTCAACCATTATTGCTTTAAATGTGCTTTCTGTCTCTTTCTCTTTCTTCTCTCCTTTTGGAATAACCATAATGCAGATATATGTTCATTTGTTGTGTCCTATAAGCCCTATAGTCTTTCTTAACTCTTTTTCATTTTTCTTTTTGCACCTCTGACTGGACAATATCAGCAAAACAAAACTGCAACTAATTGAATGGGAAAAGTCATTTGCAGGCACTACCTCTAATAAGAGGCTAATATCCAACTTTTATGAAGATCTCAACATCAACAAAAAAACAAGGAGGTTCCCAAGAAGACATACAGATGGCCAACGGATTTATGAAAAAGGCTCAATTTGGAGTCTATTTTTTTTAAAAGTTTTTTAAAAAACATATTTTATTGATTTATTACAGAGAGGAAGGGAGAGAGATAGAGAGTCAGAAACATCGATGAGAGAGAAACATCGATCAGCCGCCTCGTGCACATCCCCCCCTGGGGATGTGCCCGCAACCCAGGTACATGCCCTTGACCGGAATCGAACCTGGGACCTTTCAGTCCACAGGCTGACACTCTATCCACTGAGCCAAACCGGTTTCAGCTGGAGTCTATTTTTGAAACTCTCTACTTACTTCCTCAGTTCAGTTGTACTTTTCAGCTCTAGGTTTCTATTTTTTTTATGCTTTCTACTGTGTGTTCCTTAGTTCACTAATTTTCCTTAAGAGGAATATTCTTTTCTGACATGTCATACATTTCCATTTTTTTAGGGTCAGTTATTGAAATTCTATTAATTTCCTTTGGTGGTGTCATGTTACCTGATTCTTCCTGACCCTTTATTTCTTATGTTGGTACCGGCACATTTGAGTAAGTGGTGTCCTCTTCCAGACTTTATAGGTTTGCTTGGGCGAGATAGTTCTTCACCTGTCAGCTTAGTTTGGGTGTTTGGATGTGTCCACTGGTAATGTTCTTGGGCAGGTGGGGCTTGCTATTAGGGTCTATTTTGGGGGTGAAGCCACTGCCCAAACTCTGGGGTTGTGGGGAGGTGCCGCTGATCGAGAAGAGTTAGATCAGTCTGCTGGCTTGGTTCTCTGACCAAGAAAGGGTGTAGGATGAGGCTCCATAGTTGCCCAGTGGCAACTATGGATCAGTGTTACTAGATGGTCAGGACTGGGTACTATACTCAGAAGTAGGTGGGGCTATGAATTAGCTTTCCTGCCCTGGTGGGTCAGTGGGATAGGCCCCAGGGCCTATGTGACTCATAGTTTGGGGACCCAAATTAGTCAAGACTGTCTGCTGATTCCATGGCCAGACAGGGCCACTGGTTTTGCTCTGCAGATGGGGAAAGCCATGGGATGTGCTCTCTGTCCAAAGGTCACTGTAAGCAGGACTGCTGAGAACACTGGGATGGGCTCTACAGCTTCCAGTGTTCTCTGGTTAGGTTCCCAGGTCAGGCAGGTTAAGGCAGTATTCATCAGTGAGTGAGGCTACAAACTAGTTTTCCGGTCTAGGCAGAGCTGGAAAACTGACCCAAGCCTGGCAAGGATCTTTGTGGTCTTGACTCAAGTCAACCCCATGTTCCTTGGCCAAACAGGGCCACTGCAGTCAGTCAGCTCTGCTGGCTGGTCTCCCTGCTTGAGTGTTGCTGCACAGCTTCCAGTTGTTCTAGCTGGCTTTCTGGTTGGGAGGGGCTGAGCTATCCTCAGCATGGGGTAGGGCTATGAATTAGCACCCCTACTGGGAGGCAGGGGAAGGCCAGCTCCAAGCAGCCCCCCAGGTGTTCTTGGGCAAGCTTCCTGGTGGGAAGGGACTGGGAACCTCACTCAGCAGTGGTGGGGCTCCAACTCATAGCTTCCCTGTCTGGGTGGGAGCAGACCAGGCTCCAGGGCTGGCAAGGCTCATCATTTGAGGACCCAAGTGAAGCGGACTTACACTCTGCCAAGTTCCTTAGTCATGGCTCTGAAGATGAGCAAAGCTGTTGGTTGAGACTACTTCTTTGGCATTGATGATGACAACTCAGTCCCCAAAGATCTGGGTGCTCATTGTTGCAAGCCCTTCCTGTCCTCCATCACAGTCACGTACAGGTTATCCTGCAATTTCCATGTAGTGAGACCTAAGTGGGGGTTCCTAAGAAGTGACCCACAATTCTGGGGGAGCTGGATGTCCACATTGGGCTCTCTCTTCCTCTGGAGGAACTGTAACTGGGGGAGACCTCTTGGTGCTGCACCAGCTGGGGAAGGGGCAACCTGGTCAGTGTGAATCCATTCCTCTTTTCTGATGAGGTCTGTTTTGGTCTCCGTGGTGCAGTGGGGTGCTTCAGCTTCACCCCCATGCACTACTATTCTCTCAGGGGTGTGTTGTCCATGAATAGTTGTTTTCTGCTTGTGAGGGGGAGTCAGGGATGACCTATGTCACCATCTTTGCCTTTCTTCCCCTTGCCCCAAACTTAAAAAGAACCCACATTTTAAAATATTCACCACATGTCCCCTCTACCCAAAACAGGGAAGGCGTGTAAATGCATTCGCTGTGCTGCTAAAAAGAAATGAAGGAAGAGCTGGTGGGAGGGAGGAAAGAGGAACAGAGGGATCTAGGAGGACAAGGAGGAAGGAAAGACTTGAATGCTAGAAACATATCAGGAATTGTGGTTGCCAGGGGCACTTGGAATAGCAAAGGCAGAGTTCCACAGGTAGAAGGTATTCTGACCATGGAGTTGTCTGAGGTTCAGTTTATGCTCAGATAAGGTAGAAAGTGGCCCTTAATAAGGGTTTACTTCTTTATCCAGACCGGTGCCTTGGGTGGCTCTCTATCTAGTTTTGAATGTTCACAGTCCACCTCAAACCCAAGGAGGGGCCAGCAATTCCTTCCCTGCCACCACCACTCTCTTTGCCCCAAGGAGTAGGGGAGCAGCTATGGTTGCATCAAGTCCAAGGGCTTATTGGGCCTCGGTGCTTGGAGCTTGAGGCACAGCAAGCAAACATTATAGTAATGAGTCTACAGAGCATGTTGTCTTTGTGTAACTTCTCTTTTACTTCATCTCTTGAGATTTTGCTTGGAAATTCCTCTCCCTGGGACTGGTGTGAAATATTTTACAGACTCCTTGACCGGTGGTTAAAAAGAAAACTCTATCCATAGCCTGTTGCCTTCATTCCAGTATAAAGCCCGTCTACTTAGTGTAGACCCTGCTAGAGTAAGTACTTCAGTCCTAGGGACATCTGAACAGGAGTACTAGAGAGATGAAGCTAAGAAACAGCGTAAGTTCCAGCTTGCCCAAGGCCACTCTGACTGACTGTTCCCAACTAAGGGATGAAAATCTCTCAGTTCAGGTGAACCCATGGCCAATAGAAGGCAGTGTTTGAGGGCCCATGAAAGGTGATAACATGGTTCAAGGGCAGGTTCTACACTGCAAGCTCTGGAAGAAGAGTAATTACAACAGGCATTGCTTAGAAACACCCCTGTTCCTCCAGAGACAGCCCCTGTCCTAGGTTTAGCACAATCTCTGGAAGAAGAGTAATTACAACAACAGGTATTGCTTAGAAACACACCTATTCCTCCAGAGACAGCCCCTGTCCTAGGTTTAGCAGAACATACTAATTGGCAGGATAATCAAAAGAACTGTAAGTATCATTGATCATATTTCATATTTCCTCAAAGTGGATCAATGGTATTTTCTAAGCTCCTTCTAATTGGTTGGCTCAGTACTCTAAGGTCTGGAAGCAAGATGGAAAGGGTGAGTTAGGGCTCTGCAGGGTAAAGGGATTTCTGAGGGGGTGTTTGGGAGTGATAGGCCTTTCTTTAAAGATTTCACTCTGCTATGATTCCTCTTATTCTATGAGAAGGAAATACAACAGAATTTCAGAAAACCCAGCTGAAAATATTCCATGTGCATAAATTTATTTTAAATTTTATTGCATCACATTATACAAGCATTAAACATGGCTTCATGTTGGTTGATGACTATTTAAATGTGAAAATTCATCATTCATGTCAGTACCTTTTGGCTATTTACAAGTAAGGACTTTTTATGTACTTTATATATCTCTGTACTTGTATGTACATATGTAAGAATACATGACTATACATATGTACACACAGAAATTCATCTATGGCCATACACATAGCTATAGATATGTCATATATAATCATCTCTTCAGAAACATCTGAAATTAAAAAAAAAAAGAAAGAAAAAGTTGTAAACAGGGTCTTGTTTGTGTTGCTTGGGTGACATGGAATTAGGACCGTACGATGACATTCTAGGAATGTGTGTCCAGGTGTCCGAATACCATTGTTAGCCCAGTGTCTGTAAAATTCCCATGGGATAGAATGCAAAAAAGGTAGCAAACAGGCTGAAAAACAGGCCCAGTATACAAGTTCCCCTTGGTTTTAAAAACTTGAGAATGTGACTGCCCATGACGTGCATGCTTGCTTGGTCGAGAATGGTCTATGGATAGATAGCAATTGTGTGCTGGACTGCACCGTGCTTTCGCAGGCAGTCCGTTAAGGGTGCCGACTCCCCCTGCTGCTGCCGATGTCTGCGACATGCACTGCGCTTGCATTTTAGTCATTCACTTGAGTGTGCTTTTGCACAGCCAGGAGAAGTAAACAGAATTCAGGTCCTTAGCCTGGGAATGGACTATGACCTGGAAAGAGAAGAGAAGGCATTAAAACCCTATGAACGCACGCTGGCTTGAGGACACAATGTGCAATGGTTTGTACACACTGTGAATCAAAGGCCTTCAAAGCATTTGTAACCCCCGAACTGAGTCAGGCATGGTCTGCTTTACAGAGGGACAGACAGAGTCAGTCTGAAGCAAGGTGACGTCTGCCAACTGTTATTGTGCCTGCTTTACAGAGGGACAGAGTCAGTCTGAAGCAAGGTGACATCCTGCCAACTGTTGGGGGAGTAGAGACAGACAGACAAAATACTATCCTTTTAAGCAAAACTTAGAAATGGCCAGGTTAGGGAGAAAGCAGCCCATAATGATGAGGCCAGAAGAAACTTAAAATTGGTTACTGGCCCAGCAGCCCAGTAGGCCCTGAGGATAGAAATCACCACTGCAGGCCTTGTCTCGGGCCCCTGGAACTCCTGGGAGCAATTCTCTTCACTAATGTCTGCCTCCCCCCTCACCTAATGCTTTCTGACGCTGACCAGAGCCACAGAAGAGGTGATCAGAATGGGTGTGAGTGTGTCGGGGGTCAGGGGTTTGGGGGAAATTATAGAATCCCCGGAGGGGAAAGCAGAGTGGGCTCTTAAAGTATTGTTCAGTTCAACTTCTTTACTTTGCAAACACGGAGATCAGAATCCACTTCAAAGCCCAGGCCATATGATAGAGAAGGGAAAAGCCAGGTCTAGAATCTGGTAAAATACAAAACAATGCTTAGCAACAATACAAACCCGTATAGGATTCTTTAGCGTTTTATTGTTTTGTAAATGTCTCACTACAGAGACTAATTGCCCTGCATACTAAGTTCTGCCAAACAAGCAGGCTCAGAAAAATTAACCCTTTTTCCCCAAATCACAAACCAATGGCAGATCTGGGAAATGGCCAAATTACTAAGCAAAACATTTCTTGCCTTTAGGGAAGCGAAGGTCTACTTTGGACTTGAAGGCAGGTCCAGTGTTCAACATCTACACACCATTGTTATCCCTGGGGCCCAGGGCCTAGTGATGCCCTCCAAGTCCACCCCCATGTCCAACTTATAATCACCTCCTGGACTCTTACCCCACATCTGGCTGGGTACAACCTCACTAACTTAACAAACATCTCAACCTGTATGAAAAGTGGAAAACATATTTTCCCCCTGGATATCTCATTTTCGAAAATATTTTCAAAGTTAGTCTTCAAACAAGTGGAGAGAGAGAAAGAAAGGGGAAAAGAAAGGCTACAACCCTAACTGGTTTGGCTCAGTGGACAGAGCATTGGCCTGCAGACTGAAGGTCCCAGGTTTGATTCCGGTCAAGGGCACATGCCTAGGTTGTGGCTTGATCCTCCAGGGGAGCTTGCAGGAGGCAGGCAATCAATGATTCTCTCTCATCATTGAGGTTTCCCTCCCTCACTTATTCTCTGAAATCAATAACAAAAATTTAAAAAAAAATTAAGAACAAAACATGGATATATGCTATTGTCACTATCGTTATGGTGTCCTGAAAGTTCCAGCTATTAAAATAGAAGAGAAAAAAATTATAGAAGAGGTAATGTGTTTGTTATTGAGAAAAAAACAATTAAGCTTTTCTATTGATTGATTTTTCTTAGAGAGAGAGAGAGAGAGAGAGAGAGAGAGAGAGAGAAAGAGAGAGAGATGTTGACTGGTTGT